TTAGTAAGCCGAGCGAGGTTAGTACTTTATTAGTTAGTGGCGGCCTGATGTTTCGACTGGATCGTCTTCTTCAGAGGCCTAAAGTGGTAAGAGATCATTGATTTCATGCCTTACCCCACCAGAAACCTCTTCCATTCTGGCTAGCCTCGACTTCACCCCCGAATGCTACAAACGAAAATACGCAGAAACTTGAAAGACGAACCAACCTCCTCCGCCGCTGCCGCGTAGATGTTGAATGCGGCCGTCCTCAGTGCCACTAGTACTAATAGTGGAATATAGTCATACCGTGTTGACACTAATCACTAGCGGCATTCTTCAACTCACATAACTCCAAGAAAGGCATAAAGTCATTCGTGATTGACGCACACTCATTTCGGCTGTTCATGCGTGGATTTCTTGCGAAAATCCAGAATGCCTCGAGAGCTTTTCTACTAGCAGTATCATACTCGTTGCCAGTATAGTACATCTGTTTCGAAGTCGTTACCACAGTGGAATTCAACTCTGTGTTTACCGAGCGGTGTGGTAAGACTTCCCCGTCTCTTGCTGGCAAGATGTTCTTTCATTCTTACCCATAACGGTCTCCCAGTCTCTCCGATATAAGTGGCCCTGCACTCAATACATTTGATCTCATATATCACACCGGTCTTACCGCAGTCACCAACTTTACCGGATGGACAAATTACACAGTCTTGGATTCTGCAGTAGTTGTCGTAAAGTCTGTTACGTACTAGCCGCTTCCTGATGTTGTCACTTGGAATGTCAATCAAAATGACATCGCTTTCGAGGTTCGCGTGTTTAATGCATCGTCGCACTATAGCACTAGTCGCGTCAGAAACGAAAGGAAGACAGAGAGGTATTTTCTGTTGGTGCTGATTGCTATTGATAGAAATAGATGGTCCATCACGTCCATTTCGAAACGTGTAGCCATTTATTCGAGCAATATTCAGCGCCCATCTCTGCGACTCTTTCCGTTCTTCTTCTCCTGTGCATACGTTCGTTGCTGTTTTGAGCATGTTACGGATAACAGCTCTTTTAACAGTGGTCGGATGTGCGGAGCGAGCATTAACCAAGATATTCTTGGAACTCTCTTTGCGATACCATTTCACATTCGCAGCGCCGTTGGACAGTTTGATTTGAATGTTGAGATAAGGAAGCCAACCATTTTTCGGTTGCTGCCGTGTAAACCTTATGTACTGTGACTGTTGGTTGAGTAATCGGAAACACTCATCCATTTCGGATTGTGTTGATGTTATAACACAACAGTCGTCTATATAACGACAGTACATTAGAGGTAAACGCGACAGCACAGGCTCCTCTATTCTACTCATAACGCAGATCGCGAGTACTGGAGCAAGTCTTTGTCCCATCGCAAGACCTCTCAGCTGAGTATAGTATGTTCCTGACCACTTGAAGATGTTACAAGAAAGGCATTCTTTGATCAGGAGCATAATTGATCGTTTACTCAGCCCAAAAGTCTGGATCTTCTCACCAAAGGTGCCCAACATTTCCGAAACTGCCTGTAAAGCATCGTCATTCTGAACATTCGTGTACAGTGACACGACGTCAAACGACTCTGCTACACACTGCGCTTGCGAAGTAGTGTCATGAAGGCGTTTCAAGAAATGATTCGTGTTGGTTAAGTGAGACGGAACTTTGTCCAGTAACTGATTAACAATCTTGTTCAAGAACAGCATGTGTTATACTCGTCCTTGTTGAAATGTACTCGTAAAGAAGATGCGTGCCGACGTCTCGTACCTGCTCGGACTTGGAGGAGGATTGAGAACGGCTCGAGATCGATTTGTGCTTCTATTCGATCTGAAGCCAAATCCAGACTCTGCGCCAAGTACGACAAGCTTCGGAGGGCTGCTCGCAAAAATCCAGGTAACGTTGAAAGCAGCTTACCTCCAATCCACCGCCTTGTCGAGTCTTCAACTCAAAATGAAAGTTTCGCCCAATTGGCTAAAGTCACGGTGGTTGGAGACATCATTTATCTGATAATGCACTTGGGTTTCTCAGTCTAGGCCCTTCTTTTTCTATCGTTCAAAAAGTTTACGGGTCTGTTTTTCGGAAAGTTGTCGGTGGTTTACACAGACTCCGAGACCAACTGCGAATAAGGACTAGACTAAACAATGACCAAATACAGAATGCTCCAAACTTACAGTCAAGACGAACAATTCCGCCCATTCCTTTTCCAAGTTTGTTTTACAAAGAACCTCAGCCATCGGCTGAAGCTGATGTCAAGTTTAAGATTATCTCTGCTGGTGTGCTAAATGCTTACCGTCATCAAGCTAAGCACCCCCACTACCGATCAACTTGACTCATTCGCAATTGCTTGGCTATAGGGAAATACGTGAATTAGTCTCTAGTAAAGCTGTACGTATCTCGGTAAGCGACAAGGGAGGAGAATTTGTGATTCTTGCACGAATCTTGGACCGGCAAATCACAGAACTCCACCTTAGCGATACAACCATTTATCGCCGCGTAACTGAGAAAGAGTTTCAAGCACAATACAAGCGACTAAATCACGTTTGGGTGGATGTAGGAAAAGCATCTGGCCTCCCCAAGAGCTTTCTCAGCAGATTGAAATTAAAAACACCAAAGTGCCCCAGTCTTTTATAGTCTTGTTAAAACCCATAAACTAGCCGCTACTGATGACGCGCGCAATTTGAACGCGGAATAGTTAAAAATAAGACCTATTATAAGTTGCGTAGGAGGACCAACCGACCGAATATCCTGGTTCTTGAACAAGATTGTTAATCACTTACTGGACAAAGTTCCGTCTCACTTAACCAACACGAATCATTTCTTGAAACGCCTTCATAACACTACTTCGCAAGCGCAGTGTGTAGCAGAGTCGTTTGACGTCGTGTCATTGTACACGAATGTTCAGAATGACGATGCTTTACAGGCAGTTTCGGAAATGTTGGGCACCTTTGGTGAGAAGATCCAGACTTTTGGGCTGAGTAAACGATCAATTATGCTCCTGATCAAAGAATGCCTTTCTTGTAACATCTTCAAGTGGTCAGGAACATACTATACTCAGCTGAGAGGTCTTGCGATGGGACAAAGACTTGCTCCAGTACTCGCGATCTGCTTTATGAGTAGAATAGAGGAGCCTGTGCTGTCGCGTTTACCTCTAATGTACTGTCGTTATATAGACGACTGTTGTGTTATAACATCAACACAATCCGAAATGGATGAGTGTTTCCGATTACTCAACCAACAGTCACAGTACATAAGGTTTACACGGCAGCAACCGAAAAATGGTTGGCTTCCTTATCTCAACATTCAAATCAAACTGTCCAACGGCGCTGCGAATGTGAAATGGTATCGCAAAGAGAGTTCCAAGAATATCTTGGTTAATGCTCGCTCCGCACATCCGACCACTGTTAAAAGAGCTGTTATCCGTAACATGCTCAAAACAGCAACGAACGTATGCACAGGAGAAGAAGAACGGAAAGAGTCGCAGAGATGGGCGCTGAATATTGCTCGAATAAATGGCTACACGTTTCGAAATGGACGTGATGGACCATCTATTTCTATCAATAGCAATCAGCACCAACAGAAAATACCTCTCTGTCTTCCTTTCGTTTCTGACGCGACTAGTGCTATAGTGCGACGATGCATTAAACACGCGAACCTCGAAAGCGATGTCATTTTGATTGACATTCCAAGTGACAACATCAGGAAGCGGCTAGTACGTAACAGACTTTACGACAACTACTGCAGAATCCAAGACTGTGTAATTTGTCCATCCGGTAAAGTTGGTGACTGCGGTAAGACCGGTGTGATATATGAGATCAAATGTATTGAGTGCAGGGCCACTTATATCGGAGAGACTGGGAGACCGTTATGGGTAAGAATGAAAGAACATCTTGCCAGCAAGGGACGGGGAAGTCTTACCACACCGCTCGGTAAACACAGAGTTGAATTCCACTGTGGTAACGACTTCGAAATCAGATGTACTATACTGGCAACGAGTATGATACTGCTAGTAGAAAAGCTCTCGAGGCATTCTGGATTTTCGCAAGAAATCCACGCATGAACAGCCGAAATGAGTGTGCGTCAATCACGAATGACTTTATGCCTTTCTTGGAGTTATGTGAGTTGAAGAATGCCGCTAGTGATTAGTGTCAACACGGTATGACTATATTCCACTATTAGTACTAGTGGCACTGAGGACGGCCGCATTCAACATCTACGCGGCAGCGGCGGAGGAGGTTGGTTCGTCTTTCAAGTTTCTGCGTATTTTCGTTTGTAGCATTCGGGGGTGAAGTCGAGGCTAGCCAGAATGGAAGAGGTTTCTGGTGGGGTAAGGCATGAAATCAATGATCTCTTACCACTTTAGGCCTCTGAAGAAGACGATCCAGTCGAAACATCAGGCCGCCACTAACTAATAAAGTACTAACCTCGCTCGGCTTACTAACCTACTAACCTAATAACACATCGAAATCAAATGCCGAGATTAACAAAAGAGGAAACTTGGAACTTACTATTTAGTGTTTTTGTCATAGAACATTTACTAGCCATAAGGGCACAAGTACTTTAATCAAGTTTGCGGAAACAGAGCTGTTTGCTATGCAGTTGCGTAGTAGTTGATTAACAAGTAAGTTTATTGTAAGTTTTTTTTGTCATAAAAGAGGAATTGGGCGTAAGCCGGCATTGGATGAAGTTGTAAGAAGTTTGCTCTCTTTTTATTTAGTGTATAATTGTAGTTTTCCGCTAATGTGGGGTGTTTCGTGAAAAAAGTAGTGTCTTTGTGCTAAGATAAAAAAAACTTTGATTCGAAATGGTTTCAATAAGGTTTTACCTTCAAACAAGTCTTTTGAATACCATTCATGCACTAGCGTAGCCCTGCTTTCTCTTTAATACCGTGCTAACAAATGGGCACTGAAAATCATTTTATTCCAACGCTCCTATTTAGTAATACGCAATGCTTACAAATTAGTATGTGATACAAATAAGCTCATTGTTCAAATGCCGTACGGCAAAAAAATTAAGGGGAATTTTATGAAAACGTTGTGGTTGCCGATTCCGAGATGTTCTTAGTTACGTCCTTGAGTGCATCCGCGTAGGATATATTAGTCTTGCTGTGATTGTGAGTAAACGCATGTATGAAGAGAATGGCATAGCTGCCCACTGCAGTTAATTCAAAGGATGTGTAAAAAAACAATAGTGAAAATTACATGTTGCTCACCTAAAAGCAACAGTCCCATTGGCACGAGCCAGAACTTGTCAATCTGATTTACGATCACTGCTGCAAGAGCGGCATACTGAAGAGAAATATATAAAAAAATTGGCTAAAATGGCATCTTGTATATGAAGCTGAATGTCTGTTTGTCTGTCGTGTGTCTGTCTGTACGTATGTTCCGAATAGAAAATTCCATTTCTCAACCGATCCGGGCCAAACTTGGCACACATACACTTCGGGCCCCGGCGGGTGTCATAGGCTACTTTTCGTCATCGATCGATATCGATATTATCGATTTTTATTGATTTTTTTGCAGAGTTCACCTACGGGGCTGGGACTTGGCACAGGGGGGTAATCGAGCACGCTGATTACGATTACAATATTAGCTTTTAGAATCGTCCATTATTTTTTATCGATTTTATCGATTTTTTTGCAAAGTTTGAGCTACAGGGCTGGGAGTCACAGGGGGTAATCGAGCATGGGGATTCCGAATACAATATTAGTTTTCAGGATTATCGATTACTTTTATCGATTTTATCGATTTTTTTTGCAAAGCTTGAGCTACGGGGCTGGGAGTTTGCACAGTGGGGTAATCGAGCACGCTGATTACGATTACAATATTAGCTTTTAGAATCGTCCATTATTTTTATCGATTTTTTTGCAAAGTTTGAGCTACGGGGCTGGGAGTTTGCACAGTGGGTAATCGAGCACGCTGATTACGATTTATATTAGCTTTTGAAATCGTCCATTATTTTTATCGATTTTACCGATTTTTTTGCAAAGTTTGAGCTACAGGGCTGGGAGTCACAGGGTGTAATCGAGCATGGGGATTCCGAATACAATATTAGTTTTTAGGATTATCGATTTTTTTGCAAAGCTTGAGCTACGGGGCTGGGAGGTTGCAGGGAGGGGGGTAATCGAGCATGCTGATTACGAGTTCGATATTAGTTTGGCGCTATTCGGCTATCCGGGCCCCAAAATTTTTTTGTGGTAGAGCTTGCTCAAACTTCATTATAAGGGTTATCTTACATGCTGATTACAGATATCACACTTTCTCCGCAGAACGTCTTCCCGCGTGGTTACGATAGGTGCACGGTAGGAAGTCAAAATCATGAATTCGGCTGGAGTTCGGTCCATATGGCTTATTCGACATGCTAATTACGAATATCATCTCTCTCTGCATATTGGGACCTTTTCATAGAGATGTGGTGGTTATATGGCATGGGGTCGAAAACATAGATTTGCTTTAAACTTCGTCTAGGGTGGTCATTTAGCGCGCTGAACATGAATATCATGCTGATTTCGCAGGATAATGCATTTTCTTGGGTTACGGTGGGTGTAGATGGGTCGAACTTTCAGATTTGCTCAAAACCTTACCTGTAACGGTTCACAAGTATATCGCTTATGAAAATGATGCTTGCTCGCTGTCATAACGCAATGGTGAAGTTATGGTGAGTTGCAGGGTTTTGAATGGAAATTTTTATGCTTTCCAATTTAGATCTGATATTCAAGAGATGGGGAAACGGTCGTTTTGCATACCGGTCTCCAGCGCCATCCTGATAACCTGTCCTAACGCGTAACTTACGCGGCAAATCTCCCTCCCCCTGTTTTTGCTTAGGCAAAAGCCGCCGAAAGGTGTCTCGCGCGCGGCCGTGGTCCTATAAGGGAAAGCATTACGGTCGTGGGAAATTTTTATACCACACGAATTGCCTTTATCGTGGGGGTTGAGCACGATATTCTTGGAACAGCACTTTAGGTAATTTTCTGCCAAGGTTTCAGGCAGGTTTATGATTTTTACCTGCCGCGAAATGACTACGATATTCGTCATCAGCGGCTTGAATAACCTCCATACATCGAGTTTGAGCAAGATGCACCTCAAAAACATTTTAGGGCCCGGATAGCCGAATAACGCCATCAGTTTTTAGAATTATCCTTTCTTTTATCGATTTTATTGTTTTTTTTGCAAAGTTTGAGCTGCGGGGCTGGAAGGTTGGTGAGGAAGGTAGGTGAGCATACTGATTACTCACACAGCGGGAATAGGGAATTGCATGTAGAAGTGTGCACAGGTAAAAGTGTACAGGTAACAGTGTACAGCGAATTCGCGTCGCTCGTTTGAAGTGAGCGACGCGACGTTGTTACCCAAAAATTGTATGATCGTTTCTTCACTTTTTCAAGTTGGTTTTTTGTCAGGAGACTGAACTAGCCCGGTGTTGTCAGACAGCATTGGTTTTCGTGAAATGCTTTTATACCTATCCGAACTTTGTCTATCTTCATTTTTTGGTTGATGGCCCCAATAAACGATTGATTCGATCTGAGATAATGATCTGATCATTAGATCACACCCAAACCTTTAACAAGATACAACTTCACCACTTGCAAAGAAAGTCATTTCAATTAAAAAAGTGTATACTGGAACTAATTAGAATGCGCGTAAGTTTGAACATCATCCATAGGGTAAGTACATAGGGTGATAACTGAAGGCTTTGCTCTCATTACTTTGCACTCTATGTTCAAAACGCGGATAAAAGATCATCCGATGAGGATATCCAGGATTCGGAATGTGCGCTGGATTGTGAGAATGCACAAATCATTGCAGTGGTATGCCCATGCCCGAGAGATTCGCGATCACGTCGCGCGTTTTTGTAGCTAGTTCCTAGCCGATGGCGGCGATTAGAATTCACGACGATTTCATCGCTTGCGCTATGCTCGGCCCTTATCACAATGATCAGAGGCTTCTAATGAAAGAAGGCACATATTGGCTCAAAAACTGAGTTTCTCCTTTTTCTACAACTTTTCTCCCTTTTAATATGACGCATAAAAGTTTTGACATTATGCAAGTCACGATTTAACCTACAAGCGTTGTATTCTGCCAGATTCTGACGTGGAAGTGAGGGTTACGGTAAGTAGATGGTGGTATGAAGCAAAAAATTCAAAATTATTACCGATTTGGCTATTTGGCGTAAGGGGTTATCCGATATGTTGATCACGACAACGATAATGAAAATGCATGGTAGGGGCTTTTTATAACAGTAGCATAAGTTTACGTATGGGGTTTCACCCTAAAGAGGAAAAGGCTTTTACCTTATCGAATGAGTATGATATGGTTGTTCGGCTCGTTAACCCATTAACGACGATGCCTAATTTTGCGTGGCGGTGCTGGGGGAATCACACGATTTTTCAGAACATTTCGTTGAGGAAAGGTATTGTGGTTATTTAAGAAATGCAATGTTGTTTTGCACACAATCATAAACCTTTTCTTGAACGACCGAGTCTAGAGGTCCCAAGAGTGCAAAAAACTGGAAAAAATGTTGACACGTGGAAAAAACACTAGACCTACAAATATTATGACTCTGCAAGAGGTGCGGGCCACCGGTGTTCACATCGTTCCTGGCAGCAGAAAATGCGTGGGCCACAGGTGGCCCACATCGTCGTCAATGGGTTATTAGGTTGTAACAGAATTAATGCAGGTTTTGAAATCCAACCGCAATAAGTCATACACTTCTCATTTCCAAGTAGGTAGCAAGATACCATTCGTTAGAGCAAAGCAATCTCTATAAGGTGGCAATCTTGCTTTAGCAACGACTCTGATCCACCACGAGTTTCGAGCCATAAAAGTAAAAAGATTCAACTGTTCGAAAAATTGAGAAAAATCGTAACTCAGTTCATAAAAAACCTGCAAAAATTTTAACTTGCTCACGTAAACACTATTCACATAAGACATCTATACACGCCTGTGCCGTATTTTTTCTCTGTTGGAAATCAAGAAAACGGAAATTTTTGTGCGTTTGCCAAAGTGATGCTGTGCCGTTCCCACATAAGTAGTTGTATGCTACAAACCTGTAGAAGTATAAACGTGAGTTTTCAGCTCTCTACAAGCTTTAGTTCTCGAGAAATTTGAATTTTAGCTTGGACCACATGACTAGCGAAAACTGTATTCGATATTTTTCAAGAACTAAAGCTTGTAGAGAGCTGAAAACTCACGTTTATACTTCTACAGGTTTGTAGCATACAACTACTTATGTGGGAACGGCACAGCATCACTTTGGCAAAGGCTCAAAAATTTCCGTTTTCTTGATTTCTAACAGAGAAAAAATACGGCAAAGGCGTGTATAGATGTCTTATGTGAATAGTGTTTACGTGAGCAAGTTAGACTTTTTGCAGGTTTTTTATGACCTGAGTTACGGTTTTTCTCAATTTTTCGGACAGTTGAATCTTTTTAGTTTTTGGCTCGAAACTCGTGGTGGATCAGAGTCGTTGCTAAAGCAAAATTGCCATCTTATAGAGATTGCTTTGCTCTATCGAATGACATTTTGCAACCTACTTTGAAATGAGAAGTGTATGACTTATTGTGGTTGGAATTCAAAACCTGCATTAATTCTGTTACAACCTAATAGATAACCCAACTGTGCGGAGCCTTGGCGGATTTTGAGGTTCCGGCTCCTTGGTCGTTTAGGATCGTCCGCGGCAGCCTTGCGTACTATAGCATCTCGTTCGACTTCATGAAAGCGCCAGATATCGACTTGTCTTTAGATTCCATTTTTTTCACTGAGGGATGAGTCAACCTCCAGCAAAATTTCATACAATATTTTGGAATACTGCGGATGGTCTAGGTTGCCTAGGTTGCGAAGGGCTTTATTATTGCTTATATCTGCATAAGCTTTCGAAACTCACTGATTTTCAGAAAATAAATGAACTTTTGTTATTTCAGGTTCAGAAAGCGAACAGTTGGTAACGCGTTTGTCTCGCACATTGATCTACACACTGCCTTGAAAGCGTCACATTTGAAAAGAGTCAAGTTATCTGAAAAGTTGCAAAACTTAGTTTCCAACATGCACTCACCATTCTACTGCCGCTGGGTAGCAAATACTGGTAGTCAAGGAAAGGCAAAATGAGTTGCCTTGGGAGACCGTTTCCTAGATTCAAATAGGGTCTTGTTAATAAAAAAAACGTACATCGACAAGTCGATTGCATCTACGCCGCTGGTTTCTAATAGCGGTCAAAGCGATGAAGCAAATTTCACACATTCATTCTCAGTGGGGAATTTGGGACACCATAAGCTATATGTGCGACTTTTCTATGTTGAACACTTTCTGTGGCTTGAATGTACGTTCCAAATCAGAGGTTGTCATGCATGTCCAGAAAATAGCTCATGTGGACTTACATCACAAATAGGTTTGCACAGTGGTACGTGAAAAAAAGGTTTGCAAAGTGGTAAGTCTTATTCAAACGCCTTTTTTTCAAATAAAATCAATCCTTGACTAGAAAACCAATTTAGCTTGTTGTCGAATGGAAATGACGTAAAAAGTGCTTCTAAAGTCTGGAAAAATTTGGAGAGCCTCAATTTGCACTATTTCTGTCCTCGTTTGATGCGCGGTTTGGACACCGAGTTAGGAGCGCTTTTGGGCCAAAAATCAAACGTATTTTTGGAATAAAATCATTCCAAACTACTCGAATGACCCACTGTTGATCTAGAGCACTTTGCACAAAAGATGCTTTTCCTTCCTATTTCTCTCTTATGTACAAGTACTAGTTGCTTTATTCAAGCGCTGGAAGGACAGTAGCAAATAATTTCACCAAATCCTTCTATATTCTTGTTCTGTTGGTACCTCTAACAATGCTTGGATCAGAGTTAACTTTCAAAGTGTATCATCCCAAACTCCACTTTGAACAAAAACTTTTCTGGCGCTCTCGATCCTAAAAAAAGTGCAATTTCTTAATCATAATTTTTGTGAGGCTATCGGTTTCCTACTTAAGCCAACTCTTGTTATTTATGATTACAAAAGTGGTCAGGTTCCGCATATATCCTATCAAAGTTAAATACGTTAATACTCCAAATCAGTAAGAACCCGATTTCATTGTTCATACCTGTTCCAAAACAGTTCAACCAAGCCACAATTTATTCACTGGAAAATTATGATATGCAAATAAGTGAAAAACATGCTCGAGATGTGAAATATGCCTGCACAACATAGAATACCGGTCATTGCATGACGAATAAGTTATAAAGACTATTTGAACAATTCAGCTCACTCTGCTACCTGAAGATAACCATAAACATTGCAAAATATACGAGGCAAAGGCCAGTGAGGTGAGAACTGCTGCTTGGTTGTGTTCGATAGCCCTCTTCGGAACAAAGCCGATTTGATTCATTGCCAAAGGAGAAACGCCTATCTGTCGTCAGTGATGAAGGCAGATGAGTGACAACACATCTTTTGATGTCATAAACTTCATTTGGTTCCAGGTTGTTTACAACAAGGCGCTGCTTAGTACCAGCCTAATAAATACGGATTCGCTTGTTTTAATGAAAGAAATGCTGGGCTTACCGTTGCTGGAACGTTTTGCACGTCGACCACTCTATGTGTACGTTGCACAGAAGTTGTGAGCTCTATGTGAGAAGAGTTTTCGAAAGGAAATTCCACGCCAGCCTCAAGCAAGATTTTCAATGTAAGTTTTGTAGTTGTCAAAGTTTCCAAAATATGGACATACCTTCACCCAGTAATCGATGCTGTCATTAGAGGCTCTCGGAGACGATCCCAGTATATAACGATCGGCACAGGCGGCGGTCAAGTCGTTTTCGCAGAGTATATCCAGTCTGAATAACGGCACGCATTATCATAGAAATCAAAAGATCGAACTTTTAAATTTATTCACTTTATCAAATATATTTGAGCGATTATCGTGTCGAAATTCAATCTTACGTAATCCATGGAAAAATTTGACTCAAAAGTTCTTCCAGATACTCGAACAACTACAATTCAATTCCAATGCAAAACTTCGTGTAAAATGATAGTTGAGTACTTGAACTAGTACGGAAGCTAAGTAGTTGCTTATACCTAAAGATGTGAGCTGAGAAAGCTTACCTCAAAATTGGACTTTTCAAACATCAAACGAAGTAAATTTCATGGTTTTGTATGTGTTTCAGTTTTCAAATAAATTTAGCTCGATGATCTTGCATGGTGCGCATAATTCATAAACAAATTGAAGAATTCTGTTTCACAATGTTTGAGTTCGCTCTCAAGGTGCGCAATTTTCTTTGTTTTCAACTACCAAGCGGTACGACATAACACCTAAGCAAAAAGCTCGAGAAATCTTTCACTTTGAGCATACTCAGACAATCGCTGGGGGCAGGCGGGCACCGGAAAAATAGATTGCTGATTTCTCGCACCCCCTCGCGGATTTTTTGCAAAGCAATCAGGACTTTTTGGAAGACCGTTTACTGAGTCAGCGGATTTTTGAGAGACCGCCTGTTGAATTTTTTTCGCTCTTATCTTTTGCAGATATATTGCTGAATCCGAGAACTCAGCAAGCGGTCTTCCGAAAAGTCCTGATTGCTTTCCAAAAAATCCGCGAGCGGGGTGCGAGAGATCAGCAATCTATTTTTCCGGTGCCCGCCTGCCCACGGCGATTGTCTGAGTAGGTAGCCAGGCAAAGTGATTGTTTGGGCATCTAAAATCCAGTTCCACTTTTTTGGGTCATCGTTGAAAACTTACATTGGAAGGATACTTGGTGACCGTGGCCTTCTGCAATGTAACGTATGCCATTAAATGCATCATGAAACGCTGATTCAAAATCTTCCTTCAAAATCTGCTGTGTGCGCTCTTCCGAAAGAAGTTATAAACATTTCTTGCCACCAAAATTTGCACTGTTTTGATGACAGGATTCACCAATTTGTTTGAAATGGTCACGCACTACAAGAGAGCGTCCAAATAAAATAAAGCTTCACGTTAACTCCAAAAAACCGTCTCCAACATATTCGAGTATGGAAGGCCTGAATACTAACGATTTTGACTGCCTAAATCTAGTAAAATTAGCATGGAAAAAAGTCCGTAATCGTTTAGAAAGAGATATTGAATATAGGTTTGAAATCAGCGTTTCAAGGCATATCTACTAGTATTCATATCAGTGCAAAAGGCCACGGTCGCCTAGTATCCTTCCCTTGTTAGCAGCAGCGTCCTGGCAATACATCGATTAAAAATCTAGGCTTGTTTGGACTTATCCTTCCCGCTAATTCTGAAAATGTTGTGGAGAGCACGAAAATGTGGATAACAAGCTTCTTCCAAAACCTTTGATTTTGAAATCGGACCTATGACGCGAGGCCCGTTAAAGTAGAGACGTAGGGTCGTTGAGGGACCTTATAGTTATAACGTGCTTTATGCGCATTCTAACCTGCAACTCAAAATCTGTGGACGATCATCCCGCCCAAAAGCGAAAGTTTAAGGCTGTGTTCATACTGATCCCAAAGTTCGGGAACAGTTCCAGCACAGCGCGCAGTTCGAGCGCTGTGCTGGAACTGGGTTAAACATTGTATGTGTGGATACTATTGTCGCTGTCATTATCACTGTCCCATCGACTTCATGTCCGCCGGAATATTGAACACTGCCACGGAACACTGCCATGCAATGCATTCCGACGTTTATATTGTTATTGCTGTAGATGTAAGCAATTTTTAAGCCGCTCAGCGCTATTTGTTCAAGGGATGGTAGACTTCGTCGATTCATTAAAGCCGCTTATTGAATCTCGAATAGCAGCCTGTGATTTTGAGATGTAGTAAGTCCAAGTACCCTATTTTCGGTGTAAAAGTCACATTTATTTTCATTGCGCCATGAAATAATTGCGATGTGCGATGACGTTCGCAATGCGCCTAATAATATTAGGTCGTTAACTAAGTTTTGCAACTACTTTTATAACTTTTCTCTCTTTGGGTATGACGCACTCAAATAAAGTCATTATGTCGGCTATGATGCAAGCTACAAGCACAGCTACAGTTTTGCCAAATTCTGACGTCGCACTTAAGATTACGGTAGGTATACGGCATAAGGGAAAAGTAAGAAATATTACAGACTGAAATTGGGTGAAACTTGGCGTAGGGGTTATCCGACATGCTCATTACGAACACGATACTAGAATTACAGTCGAGTAGATTTTCTGCTTAATATAGTGTGCTTGCACTGAAGGTGAAATGCGGTAAAGTTTACGCGTAAAGAATTAGCAACGCCAGTAATGCTAGCCTTTTGCGCGCGTTATTGGTCGGCGTCACAGGCGCAGCTATTTGTTCACGCGCAACTTTTACCGCATTTCACCTTCAGTGCAAGCACACTATATTGAGCGGAAAATATACTAGATGCACATGGTAAGGGCTTTTTTGCACGATCACGGTAGGTTTATGGGGTCTCACCTAAGACAAGAAAAGAGTAGTTAATTCAACTAACGAATATGTTATTCGTGTTTGGCTAACCCCATCAGTCAAAGTCTCAGCGAATCTGAGATTCCGACTGTTTGGTAATTGACGCTTGTCCCCCAATCAGGCTTTGCGTACAACGGCTCATTCAACTTTGTGAGGGACCCGCCAGAGTGCCGAAGCCACGCCAGCGCTGCGCCGGCGCCGAGCCAGCGCCGAGCTGTCCCATTTGTTCGGGGCGGGGCTAGCTGACCCTCTGCGGGCAAGGGCTACCGGAGCTTCTGGCAGATTCGATCAATAGTCGGTGCATTTACCTGGCTGAGAACTAGATCAGCTAGCTCCGCCCCAACGGCACGTGTATCGATCGAAACAGCGCCGGGGCAGCTCAGCGCTAGCTCGGCGCTGGCTCGACGCCGGCGCAGCACTGGCGTGGCTTCCGCACTCTGGCGTGAGCCTGAGGGCGCCAAATATCTCGAGTTGTTCCAAGCCAACTTCTTTCTTATTGAGCTAAATAAACCAAGCTCTAGCAACATTCACTTGATTTGAAATCGTTGTGCATGGTCTAGATGAGAACGGCTTCATTTTTTGCTCAAAGCCCTATAAATCCCCGAAATTTCACCACTTCTCGAAAACTTGAATTTTTCCTATTTCGTCATCAAAAAGAAAGCAGTTTATGCCATTTTGTAGCGCGCATGGCAATCTATACAATAGCAAATAATGAGCGCGCCAATATCAGAAAGCGAAAAGCTACGGATACAGTTGCAAAACTTAGTTAACACGTTTCGGACCGCGAAATCGCGCGCGGCGAAAAAGAGTGCATTTTCAGCCGTTAGCCAACAAAGGGACCTTATTTCAAGACTGTGTGCTACATCTGTAATCAGCATGTTAGTTAAGCTCCATACCCAACTATCTGAGTGAATTCGAAGTGTTTGAATTTTGTTGCTTGCGAAGGACTTCTGTGCTTTCTTGAAAGATATGAACAAGAATTCAGTTTCTAATAGTATCCAAAAGTATCTACGTTGTACGCGCTACATATCAATATTGAAACTCCGGTTTTTTCCTTCGAAATCGGAGCAAAGAAAAGTTGCGACGTCGCACGCGTCGTTCGCGTTGCCGCGCTTCGTTGCAACTGTTGTTCGATTTGTCCTCATATCTTTTAAACAAATATCGGCGGCATAGATCTACAGGGTCATTTGAAAAGGGGGAGCTTAGGCCTTTGACTTGATAACTTTGGACAAAGAGAGAACCTCCTGTAAACGTTAGAAAGATTTTTCAAAGCCGCGTGCTGCACCATGTGCAGCACCGGTCCGAAACGTGTTAACACCTAATACGTGCTTTCGTACTTGTTTTCTTTTCAGTTTTGATTTGCTTTGAAAGAAAAAACCTCTATCGTCTCAATCATTCTTCAGAGATCTAGAAAACAGTAGCAGCAGCGTTTGAGTGCCTGTAGTATCATGGAATTGGGAGAAATCGCAGCAAATAAAACACAGGGCTTTAAGGTTGCTAAATTTGAGAACACTATTAGAAAACACTTTCGCGCATTGTTCGCCACGGCGGGTGCTTCTTATACATCGGAAAGTAGTTTAACATGCAGGTAACTTTCCTTTTGTGGCGTAGTTTTCCACTTTTGAAACAAAGGTTTCTTGTTGGAAAAGTACTCAGTATCATCTGTCGCTTCTCGATTAAAGAAAGTTTTGTCATCAATGCATAATGATATCAATACCTGCACGTCTGGCATCCATTTGTCATCTTGTAGCAGATCACATACCAGTTCGGGATGGTCACAGCTCCTAAACAAATTGTTGGATGTAGCATTCATATAGGCATTGCATGGTGTGAAATACTCCAAAATTTCCAATTTATGTATTATTAAAGGTTTCTGAAAAAATTTTCGCTTAACAACTACTGTTCTATCACATGTGGCTTGTGTGTCGTCTTGGGAGTACCGCCGGAATTTCCTCTTTCAGGCTACACTATGGCTCAAAAGACAATTTATATTATGCATATGCGGCTTCACAAATCTTTCAAAAGTTCCCAAAATGGACCCCGCTCGAAGTATTCGCAAACTGTTTATCATTTGCTCACCGTATGTGAAGTCATTCACCCCTTTGTGGGAAAGGCAATCCAGGCCTATTTGAACAAGCACTACAAGAAATTCGGATCTCGGAAAGAAAAACATAATGTGCCAAGTAGAGAAAGGAAGAGTGGAGCGAAAGGTGTAGAGTGTATTTCTCAGATAATCGGGGGCAGGCGGTCAGCAGAATTTTGGGGCGTGGCCAAACCTTCAGCGGGCGGCACTTCCTTTACGGTCGCATACTCTATCAGCGGGCAGCTCATACAGTATTTTTTGCAAGCGCTCGGCAAATAATTTCTTTCAGCAAGCGCTCGGACTCTTTTTACGCAGTTTCGGGCGTACGCCGAGTACTCAGACAATCGCTGGGGGCAGGCGGGCACCGGAAAAATAGATTGCTGATTTCTCGCACCCCGCTCGCGGATTTTTTGCAAAGCAATCAGGACTTTTCGGAAGGCCGCTTGCTGAGTCAGCGGATTTTTAAGAGACCGCCTGTTGAATTTTTTTTCGCTCTTATCTTTTGCAGATATATTGCTGAATCTCTGAGGAATCGAGAACTCAGCAAGCGGTCTTCCGAAAAGCCCTGATTGCTTTCCAAAAAATCCGCGAGCGGGGTGCTAGAGATCAGCAATCTATTTTTCCGGTGCCCGCCTGCCCCCGGCGATTGTCTGAGTAAAGGTGAGACTCTATCTCAGATAATCGCGGGGGGCAGGCGGTCATGCGAATTTTGAGCAAGCGGGCACCGAAAAAATAGTTTGCTGATTTTTTGCGGCCCGCTTGCAGAAATTTGGAGGAATGTTGACCAATTTTCAGACGAATGCTCTGAGAACTATCGCGGTTTTCCTGTAGATTAGTTGCGGCGCAGTGGCCGCATTCTCACGGACTTTCCGCGAGAATATGCAAATATTGACGGCCGCACGGTCCTTTGTGGAGGACCGCACAGTCCGTAGGTACTTTCCGCTGAGCGAAAGTACCCCAAACTTGAGTAATTAAACCAACGTGACACCTCTGCCATATAGAGTCTTACCTTTGCTCGGCGTACGCCCGATACTGCTCAAAAAGAGTCCGAGCGCCTGCTGAAAGTTTGGCCAGGATTATTTGACGAGCGCCCGCAGAAAGCTCTGTATTCTGCCCTGCTAGCAGGACATTCGACAGTAAAACCGCCTACTGAAGGTTTGGCCACGCCCCAAAATTATGCTGACCGCCTGCAAGAAAACACGAGTTTGCGGACCGCCTGCCCCCCCCCGCGATTATCTGAGATGTGGCAGAGGTTCATCGATGGTTTAATTACCCAAGTTGGGGTACCTTCTTTCAGCGGAAGGCACCCTGGGCAGTGCGGTCCTCCACAAAGGACCGTGCGGCCCCCAACAATCCTGCATATTCTCGCGAAAAATCCGCGAGAATGCGGCCATTGGGTCGCAACTTATCCATAGAAAGACCGCGGTAGTTTTCCGAGCGTTCGTCCAAAAATCGGCCAAAATTACTCCAAATTTCTGCAAGCGGACCGCAGGAAATCAGCGAACTATTTTCCCGGTGCCCGCTTGCTCAAAATTCGCATGGCCGCTTGCCTCCGGCGACTATCTGAGTTGGCGTAACGTGGATGTTTTCCTCCACAACAGAAATAAAATTTGGAAAGCCATTGAAAGAAGGCCACCACCAGGGCCCGGCACAGATCGTCTGGAAGCAGGCTGGACTTCGTTTTTGAAGCTAAAAGCAAAGGAGATATCGTTTTTGACGAGTTGGGACCGAGCACCAAGAATAAGCGCCATTTAGTTGAACACAAGCTTTTCGGACAGGTTATCACACGATTGACATGCTCTATCATGCATGGCGAAAAATGCGCGCGATTTGAAAGCAATGCTCAAATAAACAAATTGCCTGTTTACAGCGCACACAGAAGCATACGACACCAAAATTGGACTGTATGTCCAGAAAATTATTTGCGAAAGAATTATGTAAAAAGATTTGAAAACTTATGTGAATTAATACCTTTTTCAAAATTAGATCGTCTCCAGACGGCCTCCAGACGATCTGAGATCGTCTGGAGCATATATTTTCGTCACTTCACATAAGTTTCGGATCTTTTTAGCATGGATGGATTCCCCGGCCAAAAATCTATCCCTGAGCATGAAGATATTTTCATATCATTGCCTTTCCTTTGTTTTTTGCCTTCACTATTTCTCGCTTGGTTAAATATCGCGCTCTAATGCCAAAATCTTGTGCGTGCCTATTATTCAGCTCCAACTTGGATTTTCAGCCTTATCCCACGTTTTTTCTTCAGACTAGTGAATAATTTTTGTTTTCATCTTCTCCTAAGCAAGTAGGTCAAAAAGGACTTCGTAAAACTTCCGAAAGTCAAGGGAGACTTCGTTTTCAGAAACCTTAGAAACCGATTCGTGCCGGGCCCTGGCCACCACAGTCCAACTACTCAGATAATCGCCGGGGGCAGGCGGTCCGCAAACTCGCGCTTTTCTGCAGGCGGTCAGCAGAATTTTGGGGCGTGGCCAAACCTTCAGCGGGCGGTACTTTCGTCTTCTGCCAGCGGGCAGCAATACAAAATTTCCTGCAAGCGCTCCGCAAATAATTTCTTTCAGCGAGCGCTGGCCAAATTTTCAGCAAGCGCTCGGACTCTTTTTAGGCATTTTCGGGCGTACGTCGAGCGCAGGTAAGACTCTGTGTGGCAGAGGTGTCACCGTTGGTTTAGTTACTCAAGTTTGAGGTACTTTCTCTCAGCGGAAAGTACCTGAGGGTTGAGCGGTCCTCCACAAAGGACCGTGCGGCCCTCGAAATTTTTGCATATTCTCGCGGGAAGTCCGCGAGAATGCGGCCACTGCGCCGCAGCTAATCCATAAAGAAACCGCGATAGTTCTTCAAGCTTTCGTCTTTAATTTCGCCAACTTTCTTCCAAATTTCTGCAAGCGGGCCGCAAAAAAACAACGAACTATTTTTCCGGTGCCCGCCTGCCCATAAATCGCATCGCCGCTTGCCCCCGGCGATTATCTGAGTATCACCTCCATATCAAGGAGTAGCCACTAACGACCTTATGGAACCACCCAACAGGAACGTTGCCGATGATAGTTTGTTGCTTGGCGGAAAGTTCCTGCTCAAATCTTATCAACTATCGATCCCCTTCAATTTGACCGTTTAGTACTACAGTATATCTCTTGTGTAGTATACAGAGCAAACAATCAATATGGAAAAACATTGGAAATTGGTACTGCGCAGTACGAGTACGAACCACACATTAGCATACTTAGGATCAGTATTTGGGATCCGCTGAAGGAGCGGCTATGATTTGAGGTCACCCACTCAGCTAGGAATTGTTGGAGGAATGTAGAGGAGAGTAGCTGTGGCCATTTTCTTGGATCCGGTATTGAACAAGGAACCTTATGAAGTTGTAAATGGTATTACTTACGACAAGAAATGGGCAGTAAGTTAGCGAACAATAATTTCTTATCACTCTTCAAGCTATGTGACGGCAGGGCAACCGAAAGGGTTTCGCAACAAAATTTACATTAAGAATCAGTTTTCTCTTTCATACTCTGCATGATTGATGAGCACGCCATGAAACAGCTCAATTCCAACTCTCCTTGGACCTTTCTATGTACACTGAGTAACGGACGATTCTATGGCAGGCACAAAGTAGAGGTGGAGGATAAAGCGCAAAAATGAAAGGCAAGGCCAGTATTGATCAAAGTCTCGCACTGATAAAAAAAATTAGCAAAATGAGATGGAGAGCCTGGGGGATGAGAGCAGCAAATAATGTCTGTGCAGCACAAAATTTTTGACGGATCGTTTGTCGACCAGCAGCACTGCTAGCAGTAGAAACCGTAGCAAAAGATAGGTGGATGGACAGAATCGAGGCTGAATTGCAATCTCATTACAGACAAAGTCATTACTTTCATTGCAAACATATATCAACATCTAATTATAGCACATGAGCGGGACACATGCGAAAGCAGAAAAATGTTTTTAGTTGAGCTAGTCACAGCAAATGATTATCATTTCCTGGATGAGCTCTTCAATTATACTTGAGCTCTATGGCTATATTCGCTGTGAATGCGAGATAGATAATTGTTTAGTGGGAACAATAGTGCATATCAAAATTGACTAGCTCTTTCATGACGAAGGCGGTCGGTTTAACGTGCGAAGCGGTTGCGACCGGGGTGTTCGCGCATCTTTGATAATTGGAACACTCACTCCCGCGCACGGCACGCGTACATGGGCGACCGCCTTCGTCTTGGATTAGCCTCTAGCTATCTGAGAGAAAATGAAACAAACTTTGTGCTGTGTTGAATCACTTTTTAATATGTTTGTTTTTGCCCATCGAATGTTTTCGAAGATTGCTCTAAAAGAATCCAATCATTTCTCTGCCAAACGCGAAAGAGTTTGCCTTTTTGTATGGAATAAACTCATCCATCATGCATAAATTGTAGGTGCATTTACATGTAAATTGAGTTGAATATCTAAGCAAGGAAGTGCGCATCAGTATGTTAATGAGAGCGCGCTGCAGAATGAAAAAAAAGCTATTACTAAGTAGTTCTCGATTCATCTTTGCGCCCCTTCCCTCTCCCCACTACATCTCCCTCTTCATTCTCGCCCAGCAATGATTTAAAATGTCAAACTCATTAAACGCCGGAATAATCTACGAAGGAAAAACGCTCATAAACTGTTACGAACAAAAATCAGGAAGGAGACAAATCAGCATAACCGTGAGCAAGTGTTAAGCAACGAAGCAAAGGTTTTAGAAGTAAGAAACAAAGTTGCATGAAAAAAATTATCTGAAAAAAATTACCGTGAGGAATGTTCAGGGTTTGGCCAGTGCTGTAGGTGCAGTGTACTCCGGGCTTTGCTCCTACCCAACCGATTGTTGGTTCCGGCCGATCTGAGCAGAGCGATAACTGCAACACTTCTAATATTGTGCGTAGGTACTATTTGTGAATCTCAATATGATAAAATGAGGTAACCCGAAGAGCAAAGAAATTGAGAGATCACAAATTTCAGATCCAAAACTTTGTATATTCGCCCCGGACAATATAGTGGGAATTCATTCTTTGGCTAAAGTTCACCGCCTTCTAAGTCATCTAGGAAGCGCGATATTCTCAGTCACAGTTGTAATTTATTTTTGATGTTTCTTCATGTGGCCAAAAAACTGTTTCCACACTTGCACCCTTTCCTATATTTCTTGACATCAGTGAAAAAGTAATCTGCCTCCCTTTCTTCCTTCATTGGCTTTTTTAATCAGCGAGGATACCATTTTCTCGATACACTCACCTGAAGTTCTGAATACATGTCGTCAGCTACTTGTGGGAAATCGGATTCGAAGACGACTCGAGAGATTTTGAAGTTGGACGGGTCATGGAAGCCCCAGATTTTTACACTAGTTACATTGCAGCAGACTTGTAGCTGAAAAAAAGAAAATTAGGCGAAAATTTCATCAGATGGAGATAGGCATGCAAACAGAATCTGCCAAACATCTAATATTCCTTTCTGTTGAAATTGCGCAAGGAATTTCGGACCTCGAAAATCTGTTCTTAACATTTTCCTGAGCTTGGACGTTGTTTTTCTTTCAAGCTCAATAACATAAAAGATCGCAGACGTTCACAGTTAGAATGCATATCATACAGGATATCTTGGCAACAAAGAATCTCTCATTTGTTTCCTTAATCCATTTGTCAATCGGCAAACAAATCTAAATACACTTTATTTGGCTCAGAAAATATTAGGTTGTACCGAAAGTTCTGTCGTTTCATTTTTGAAAATTTGTAACTTTGCGCTCTTTCAACGTATTTGCTTGCCTGTAATTTTATTAGAAAGAATAAGTCTTTTTCTTTCAAATGCTGTTTTGCGGAGCTTCTGTTTCACATTGGGTGCGGAGATAAAAATGGAAAACTAAGAGCATGTAAACTTTGACCATTTTAAGTTAGGTCACCAAAAATCTGTAATGCTGCAGAAAAATCTGAAATCGTCAGTACATATGTTTTTTGACCTACCCTTTGCATCTGTGAAAAAATTGTGCTGTTTGGACGTCTCTATGAGAAGTTATGAATAACGAGTTTACTATGGAAAACGCCAAAATTAATTAATTTGTCAATTTTCGCGCAAATCATAACTTCTCACAGAGACGTCCAAACAGCACAAACTCTTCACAATTGCAAAGAGCAGGCCAAAAAGCATATGTACTGACGATTTCAGATTTTTCTGCAGCATTACAGATTTTTGATGACCTAATTAAAATGGTCAAAGTTTACATGCTCTTAGTTTTCCATTTTTATCTCCGCATCCAATGTGAAACAGAAGCTCCGCAAAACAGCGTTTGAAAGCGAAAGACTTATTCTTTCTGATAAAATTACAGGCAAGCAAATCCGTTGAAACAGCGCAAAGTTACAAATTTTCAAAATGAAACGACAGAACTTTCGGTACAACCTAATATCTTATGATCTAGACGACGTAATTCGATTCATCGAAATGCAAAAAATAGGGAAGACAAAATTGGCATTTTTACAATGCTCAGAAAGATCTGGTTTCTAGCGTTTCATAGCCGCATTTCAACTTATCCAACGCTTGAAAAGCCAGGGGAAACTGGCTCGATTATAAACAAATCCAAGTCAGCTTTCCATGGTCGCTGTTAGCCACGTCAGATGTGATCATTATAGGTCCGTTACGTATCAGACTACGTCATCTTGAATTAGATTGTAGCAAACGAAAGATGGGTGTTTTTCATGTTTTAAAGTTTGATTAAGCCTTCCTATCAAGTCGAATGCAATAAGAAATAAATTGAGAATAAAAATATTTTAATGTGTAATTTGTACTACAATCATTTTCTGACAAAAAATATTCCAGAATAAACGTGCTAATGCTACTCCACCTCGTTCCTTCTCTCAGACGAAGTTTTGCTTTGAGTATTAACACTTCCCGGAACTCCACAGTAATAAAGAAAGACCCGAAATTCAAAACAAAACTTCCTAAGGGGAGGAATGAAACGGATTGATTGTACTCAGTTTACAAACTTTGTTGGTAAAGAATTTTTTTGTGATGGAAGTTACAGTTTAAAACGATTTCATCCCAAGTTAATGCATGTTCCTCATGCTGAGCCGTAGAGTAAATAATTTAGTAAGGAAACATATCTCGACACAGCAAAGAATGCTCCAGGAGTTGAGTTATTCTCGCAAATGTATCCATGTCAAGTTTGAAGCCGAAGTCCAGAAAACTTTAGTATATAATAACTGGTATTCGTCCAAAGAAATCTTACAGGGTTTGGTTTGCTTGAGCATATACCATCCACTTTAGATGTTTACATGTACAGCTGTTGTACTTCATTGGTGAAACAAAAAGCACCAAAGACACAAAATATCGCTTTTCAGCTTTTCTGGGCTAAATACACAAGCCAATAATTGGAGGTTGTAGAAGGCCAAAAATCCACGTTTTTATTCGCATAGTCTGTGGCATAGGGTATTATATGTGGGAACGGCTCAGCATTACTAATGGTAAGAACAGCCAGTTTACATTTTCTCAGTTTATAGCCGGGATAAAAATTAGGTGTACATATGAATGACTGATGCAGAGCGTATATGCTTGAGCAAACTGGAGTTAAATTTTTTTAATGGAAATTTGATTTTTGTCAAAATTTCCAAAGCTTTTGGCAATAAGCTTCACTTGAATCACCCTTCATATAAATCAATGGCATCTTATACTTCCTAGCTCTATCAAATACATATATGCTTTACAATTTTTTAATCATTCTGCGGCTGTAGCATCCTCAATTTTGCATGGTTCCAAATTTAGCTTCTCCCTCTATTACTACCGTAGTTCTTTTGGTTTCTATTGCATTCTTCATGTTTGTAATTCTCTTTTCTTCACTATAATGCGCTACTTATCTTACTCAAAAATATAAGCCCCACATTTCGTTTCCAAGCGGACTGGAGTAAGTGCACATTGATGAGCGGAATTGCGATAAACAGCGGCAATCGGCATTTTAAAAAAAAATTCAGAAAAAGTAGCTCAAAGTGCATGCGTTCGCCTAAGGATATATTTGCCATATCGAGAAGTATTTCTTGAGAATGACTGCTTTGCGTGAGTATTTTGAGTTAGTAATAAGAACACCCGACCGAGCGAAAATGGCCATAACAAAACAATGAGAAAATTGACAAATTAGTCATTCACGCGCTTGATATTTGAACCTCTAATTGAGAACCGAGCAACTAGCGAAGATTAGGATGCACAGCGCAAATTGCAAACAAAATCTTCTCAGTTGTAAAATGTTTTTCGGTCTCTCAGACTCCCTCTCATATCAAAAAAAAAAATGAAAAGCGTATGATGAAAATTATTTTACAGAATGTGCGACCATCAAATGGAATCCAAGCGAAATGATGCCCGTATGTTATTCTACTATGCCTAAACACTGCAGGAGAAATAAACAAGTAGCATTATGACCTCAGCGAAAAGCCATGTAAAACTAAGCCAGAACCTTTTTCTCTCTGAAATTATGCGCAGATTCGAACATCCGTTACTTTGAATTCTCTCTGTCTGAGTGATCAATCATGGAACACAGAAGTAATGAGAGGTAATAAACGACGTCTAGTTTATGAGAAAATCAATTAGCGGTGATGAGGCTTTGCTGGTCCCAACAAATTTCTAACCGACATTTTTTGGTAGCAAAAGAAAATTCTTTTAGATTTTTCCATGTGGATAAAGTCATTCTAACTTCATTAACTCGTAATTCCTTCGGCTTTGGTCCCCAAGTCTCTCTAGCTTCCCCTTCATTGAATCCCTGTTCAGTTTCTCAGAAATTTCAAAATGTTACCTGAAACATGAGCTGAGGCTTGTTCCGTGAGAATATTGAATCAAGATGGTCTAAGCTCACTGAAATACTTGATGTTTGCCCAACAGATAAAACATTCCTGCAACGGATACGAAATTCTACACCTTTTGCCTAGATGATTCGTTTATGCACAAGTGGCAGAAAGCAGATGTGAGTTGACACAAAAAAACTCTATGTTTATGTAAAAAGTCAGATTTTATTGTTCCCTCTATCACTGAACAAATTTCTAGAAAAGATGTCAAGTGTAACCGTTATCGATTGCAAATCCCAATGCTGCGCAAACACACTTCATTCATTGTGACGGGTTGGGTTCGGTATTCTATTGAACAAACAAATGATAGAATACTGTAAATAGAAATCACTTCATATTTCCCACTGTAAAAGAAGTTAAGCTTTTTGTAAGGCTCTCTAACACCTTCTTTTTGGGCAATGTCGCTGAGTTTTTCAGCTTCATTTCTTTGTGAAAAAAAAATAATCTAAAGCGACAAGCGCTAAATGCAATGTCAAGGTTTCAGCGCAAATTTGGCTAATAAAAGTTGGCTCGGCAAATTCAGATTACCGAGAGTCTCAGCTTGATTCACAAAGAACGTTGTATGTATCGACTTCAGAAGGACTTGAGCTTAAAAGGAGTGGGAAAGCAGGTGTAAAAATGTTCAAAAAGATTCAGGGGACTTTGCGTTAGCACGTCTCAAAATGATCGGATAGCGCATCTTCAAAAAAAAAGAGAAAAAAACGGAGTGAGTAGTTAACCGTAAAAAACCATAGGCTCAGTGTAAGAAAAGTTTTGTTCGCGACATTTTAAAGCTCATAAAAATAGAGATCAAAAAATGATAGGACAGAGCCGATTGGTCATAAAAAATATTTCATTTATTACGCTGTATGACCGTCATTTGCTTAGAATTGTCAAAAAAGGGATTAAACAAGTAGCTTTTTTTAATTCTATCTTCTATTGAAACTAAAGAAGAATTATCTTGAATTTCAAATCATTTTAGACCATCTATTAAAGTCCTACTTATGGTATAATGAAATTTTACCAGAATCAGAAGGTGCGTGATTTAATTAAGCAATAATTTCACTAAAAAGGATGTAGATATTCTGCAGTTTTAATTTTTCAACAATAGCCCAGCAGTAACATTCTAACCGTGAAGAGGCCAAGATTTATGGCACTTATTTTTATTTTTGACTATCTCTTCTCCTCTCCCTTCCGCCACTGCCCAATCTCTTTACAGTATCGTGCTTCACTTTCAAGCTCAATTTGCAGGGGAAAAGGGCACTTGGGGAAAAGAGTCGTAGCTCTTCAAATACATATGTGACAGCAACTAAATCCTCTTGAATTGACGAGCAGCTTTATTCAATGGGAAAAAGCAAAGCTTGACGCGAATCACTGTGAATCGACGTCCTGAGTACATGTCCATCAAGTAACTGCACTCAACAAAGCAGCTAGGCAAACACTACTTGTTACATTGACTGGCAGAAAAAATTGTACGTAGCACTCTCACGGGAACACTTTGCCGGGGTGAAGAGGAAGGTGAGTAAGACATAAAACAGGAATCGGTAAAGAATGTATGCACAAGAAATGCAAAATACAATTGAATGTAACCGAGCTACTATCTGAGGGCAGTGAGAGTTCAAGCAGCTTTTATATGAATAGAAGTCAAAGAGAAAACTTTCGCAAAACAGCTAATGAGCGAAGTTCCCTAGTTTATTTGTTTTTATCCAGCCTATAGAAAATTTAGCTCTAATGATTTGTGAGCTTTTGAGCCTCTCACAAGCAGCAGTGTTTCCTTGTCTATGGCGCAAGTTCTATTATCCAAATATGGAAGAATTTGTAACGAATTTTTATGGAGATCATGAATAGACAAAACGCATTACAGGTGGGCAAGCATAAATCATTGTCATAAATCAACGCCAGTTATGCTTCCTTCGGGGCTCAAAAGATTTTCCGTTTGCGACAGAAAAGAGAGAATGGAGACTTTGACAGATTGGCTCATTTATGAGTGCGTGGAAATGCTTTCGAATGACAGACGACTGATATTTGTCGATGAATTATGAAGAGACTTTCATTTTGGATTCAAAGTGATCACATATTTAAGAGCTCCCGCATCACATGTGGAGACAATCTTGAAAGCTGCTAAGGAGAATTTGCAGGAGTGGAGAATTTTAAGAGACGAGAAACTTCGAAAATCTTTGAAAATGAAAGTGTCAAAATTCTTTTATGGAAAAAACAAGAGGCTTGAAAATCAACGTGTAAGTGTTTTACTGTCGCAGCAAATTTTTCCTTTCGGAGGTGTTGGATAAAAAAGTCGACAGCCTTGCGAAGAGAAATGATAGAAACTCATAATGTATCAAAAAAGTGATGGGTCATGGTTGCAGAAGGGGTCAATATCTACATATGTAGATAATTTCTATAATAAAAGTTCTCTCACCTGGATTCCCTGTTCGTAGCCAAGACTTTGCCGGGAGCTCCAAAAAAGCTCGCAAGAATCTGACGATTTAGAAGGTTTATGGGTTCCGAATGCTCCCTGAATGGCAATGGCTAGTACGAACAGCAGAACGAGTGACGACAATGTTAACATCGCCACTGATCATCTGCTAGTGCGGGGGGCGCGCGTTCCCGGGTTGCCAGCCCAGCCCGAAATCTATCCGCTTTAGTGAGAGAGTAGCAGAGATGCAGAGCGCATCAAAAGTGAACGCACACAACCGTGAGAGACGGAAACGCAACTGTTTACTCCTAGAAATACCAGCGAAATTTCGAACTTAAACAAGGTTATTCTTAGCTGCTGAAGAGTTTTAAAAAGAAAAGTTCAAGTGGAGTAGGCAGCAATGGTCGTAAGAGGCCGAGTTTGAGCGTGAGCAACTTGTACTAGGTTGGAACAAAGTTCTATAGCACCATTTTCAGAAATTTTTAGCTTCTTGATTTCTTTATTTGACTTATTCAAAATGAGAAATCATGCGCTCTATAGGAACATCTAGCCAGCTTCCTAAAATGCACAAATCGCGTAGATGGAAGCGATAGAAAAAATTACTCAAATTTTGACTTTTCTGTGCTTTGCCACAAATCTGGGACTTTCAATAAAAATCGGAGCAGTCAGTATTATAGGATTGTTTTTGACTTGGTTCTTATGGGAAAAACCTGTGCTAATTAGTTGCCTTTTTCAAGAATTACGATTTTCGAGAAAAAGGCCAAAGTTATCAAATACCATTTTTGTATTGTTTGCCAGAAAATTATAATTTTTTGCAGAGACGCTCAATATCCTTGCTCAGTCAAAAGAAGTAGCTTGTAATATTGTGCGCTCCGATTTTTACTGCAAATTTCGGATTTTCACAGAAAAATTAGAATAGTGATTTTTTTCTATCGCTTTTATCTGCGCGATTTGTGCATATTGGGAAGCGGAGTAAATGTTGATATGAAGCAGTTGATTTCTTCTTTGAAAAAAATCAATGCATGCAAATCGGTTTGGAGATTAAGAAGCTATGAATTTTTGAAAACGGTGTACCTAAACTTCGTTCCAAGAGTATTTGTGATATTACAAGCTTGTCAATCAGAAAACTGAAAAACTTTCTTAGAATGGATGGAAAAATGATAACGTTTACAAATAATAATTTCTGAGGACGTGGTACATAACTTATTTATTTATTCAAAGCACACAAAAAGCACCCTCTACCAAAGAGAAAGTCTAAAATAGTCATCAGTAAGAAGAAAAAAAAAGAGAGCATACACTCTAAGGCAGAAACATGAAATCATTACTATTGAAAAAACGAAGTCAAGCAGCAGTAACTCAATTCAAACTGTGACACTACCAACAAGGTATGAGTTAGAAATATAGCATCCACTGACTACTTTTGCTGACTCTCAGCCTAATGCATCTTCCACTACGAAGATAGTTTCTCAATTCCTGAATAAAAATTCAAAAATGCTTCTTTTAATTTCCCTAAAGAAAAAACACTGCGTGCTTAAATTGACAACATGTTTATTGTTTACATCCCATTCAGTATGGCAAATTCTCCGGTGGTGTGCATTTATTTATTTCAAATTGCAAAGAAATTTTTCTCTGGATTTATTCTAAACAAGCAGAACTTTTTGCACTGACGAAGATTTCCGTTTAGAGAAAAAGCATGTGTATTGGCGATTTGAGAGAATTAAAATTTTCGCAGGACTGAGTTCAGTCCGGAATTTTTTCTTGCTTCCAAATGGCAGCTGCCATGGCAGTCGTTTGGCTAGGTAAGCCTGCAATAAAACTTTTGAAAAACTCGGTTCCCTTTCACTTTGACAGATTACATATTCATTCTTTGATTACGTGGGGCAACACAGGCTATCTCTTAGAACAGTTGTCATTTGTTCTTTTGCAATTTTGCTTTTGTCATTGTAATAATAGTACATTTCCGACAGTTCTGAACAAAAAACACCTGAAGAGACTAAAGCCAATAAATTTGTGAGAGTGCCGCAATGCACCAAAAAAGATATTTGCTACAACTGCGAATCAGCATTTCTCCTGAATGAGCTTCTAGATAATCATCAATGGCGACTTCTGCCCCTAAGCTACCCGAACTCGATATTCCGAGGCCTTTCCTTGCAATGTACATAAGCGGCGGATATAGAAAGGTTAGTGGGATTTGCGGAGAAACCTCTTCTATTCCCGTTCAAACAACTGACAAGGGATGTGTCAGAAGTCGCAGTGGCCTTTTGACATGAGATGGGTACCATCTTAAGCAGCTTGAAATGCTGATTCCAAAACAAACATTCTTAGCTGCAGAACTGTTCTGGGTCGCGAGTTATGGGCATTTCAAACATTAAATTTTACATTGTTTGAAGTACTCTGTAATCACGGAAACCTTTCAAATGTTTGTTTAAGCACCACAGCATGACTTTGATGAAGGCGTAGGATTACGTTAAACAATGATGGACTGTTTCATCTATGTTTGAGCTTAAAAAAATGTTCGCTATGATTTTTGGCTATTCTCAGCGTTGTAAATTTCCCGCAAATTAAATTCAATAAGTTTCGTCCTAGATTAGTTCTGCAGCTAAGAAAGGCTGTTTTGGAATCAGCAGTTCAAGCTGCTTCAAATGAAACTTATTTCATGCCAAAAGGCCACTGCGAGTTCTGACACTTCCCTTGTGAGCTCTTTTGCTACGTTTATATTGTTACTTATTGCTCAAAATTGTTCCAAAATGTTTTATTTTGCTTCTGTGATAAATAATCTTGTCCTAATTTATGAAATCTTTCCTTAGGCGCTATGTAATTGTTAAGAGCTTCGCTAGAGGTTTCGAAAAAGTATCTGACTTTGTTGTATATCTCATTCAATGGGTTACTTGCATTTTAGGAATTCCATAAAGGCAGTGTCTCTTCAGAACCGAGTTTCTGAAATGGGCAAATCGAAATCACACAACGTGACATTTGCCTGATTTCTTCTTGGCTAAGATTGCTTTCAAACCTCTGAAACTGAGCTTTAAATACGTCGCCGCATTACGCAGAACATCTACGCCTTCGCGCCCGCCCACTCATGGATCTCACCACTGTTTATAGGGGCAAAGAAACGTAGAGGGCATTTCAACGGGCGCCGGCAGTACATGGCATTCCAACACAATTTACATTGCAGCCGATGCTGGAGCAAACGAAGAACTCGTCTTTGCGACTTTCCGACGATAGCGATGACACGAAATTTAGGAACTGAAAAATAAACTTTGTATAAGGTTTACGGGCTTGGAGAGGACCGGACCTAATCATCGAAAATCCGGGAAGTCAAATTCTACCGGTACTGTCTTTGGGTTGTCTGTAGTTTATAAGCATAAAATTCTTGTCAATCGATTTGTTATTCTTTTGTATGTTCTACGTCTGTCATATGTCACATTGTTAACATGTTCTAATCTCTTTCTGCGTCATCATAAACTTTCTGTGAGTGAAGCTAAAATTAAAGCTTGCCTTTCAATTGTTGACGAAGTGTGTATTGCAAGGGAAATGCCGATAAAACTTCCTTAGACAAATTGCCATCTATGTCGTTTGCTGTACTGTTGAGCTACGTTTGATCTGATCGATTACCGCGCGCTAAAAGGCGCGAACTCAGCCTGTTACGCAATTGGTTGCAAAGATCAGCATTGTTAGCCTTGTTACCTTTGTTTTTGGTTCTTTTCACTAATAAATTGGATCTCGAGGCCTTAGCAGTAGTGTTTGCCTTGAGGAAATTCCACATGTTTGTTTATGGGCTTCCAATAGAAGTATGTACGGACCATCAAGCACTTACAGCAATCTTCAAACGAACCAGTGTGTCAGCTCGGATCGTGCGATGGGCACTCGAGCTGCAGAAGTATGACTTGAAGATTGTATACCTGAAGGGCGCCGCGAATCGAGTAGCGGATGCACTCAGTTGAGGAGCGACGCGCGAAGTGAAATGCTGTCCGGAAAGTGACGATTCGATGCATGGAGAGCTCATCGTCGCATCGATTCTGGACGAAGCATGGACAAAGGAGCTACGGAAGTACCAGTCTACCAGAAAATCATGGAAAGACTGGAAAAGGACGAAATGGACGGAAAGATGGAGTTTCCGGTGTCATCTCTGAGGTATAAGGTGGCTGACTTTATCATGAATGAAGGTCACCTTATGCTGGTGGACAAAGGTCGGTTGCGGAAGGTGGTGCCACCCTCCCAAAGAAAGAAACTCTTCGAAGATGCACAACCGGAGTGTTAGCGGGACACTTCGAAGCCAAGAAATTATGGCGGGAGCTCTCGAAGAGATTCTTTTGGAAAATCATGAGGAAGGACATCTGGCGCTGGGCGGAAGAATGCCGAGAATGCTTGTGTCACAATCCCCAGCAATCAATGATCCCACCACTACGTCCAATTGTGACCACCAAACCGTTTGAGGTAGTGGGTATACAGGGTGGTCCACATAAAGTGTGACACAACAAAAAATATCATGACTTTGCAAGGACTAAATGAAATCAGAAGCTTTTGTCCTCACCTGATAGAGAAGAGAATTCTCTAAGAACTTTAAACTAACGTTCGAGGTGTTTGTACCTGCTTTTTTGAAATCGTTTCTTCTCCTTCAAACCTCTTCCAAAAATTCTTCGATTTGCGCGCGATGGTTCTGCTCCCAAGCTCTCACCGGGTTTCTTTTTGGCAAATCAAATGACATGGGTTTTGAAGAACAGACTTCTTCCTTTCAGGCTGACAGAAAAGAGTGTTTGTTGGTTCGAGGACGGGCGAGCAAGAGGGCCAAATGTCATTTTTTTCCAGTGTTTAAACGACGGATTTTACACAACTTCAATTTCTTCTTTTCGTTGTAAATTGGTATCTAGTCATGCTAAAAATTCCCAAAAGCGTCTACAGAATTTTCTTTGATCTAAAAAAGTGCCACAGCCCTTCAGAGTTTGCTTTCAATGCTTTTTCCAAAATTTCGAAAAATTGCGATTTTTGTTGCCATGGCGACTCCCTTTGATAAACCTTCAAGCTTGACCATGTTTTAGTAAGAACCAAAGTCGGGAACAAGCACGAAGGGACAAAAGAATATGGAGAAGACGAATATCTTCGAAATCCGGAATGAAATGGACCAAAAAATGGTTTTTTCGCAGTCCATCAGACTTCATATTTGGCACATACTTTGGCCTTCCGAATAGAACATTCTTAAACCCACAGATTCTCCGCCTTTTCTATCTGTAAGCAAAAAGTCCGCTCTTCC